TTCAGCATCACCAGTCGCCGCTCCAGGCCGGGCCCAGAGGGTAGTAATCGGCGCGCCCTGAACGCCGCTTCTTGGCTCCTCTCCTCCTCCTGCCTCTCCTCAGGGGAGGGAGAAACAAAGGCGGGGAGGCGAGGGGCCGCGGCTAGAAGGGCCAGTCGCCCGGGTGGGGGGCTCGAAGCTGCGACCTCGTGAGGAGAAAAGACACCCGCTCTTCTCCACGTCGCCAGAGCCGTTATTCAACAGCCTGTTCCGGCAACCATCCCAAATCCCAACACGCATACGTACGCACGCACACACACAAAGAGAGATGTTCCTTTTTACCCTTTTATCAGAAAAGAAAGTTCCCTCAGAGCACACGCCCGCTCTCCTGGCTCACTCTGGGTCAAGCCAGGGCCCCTCCAGCTCCGCTGCTTCTCCCCTTGGCGTCGCCGACCTCAGCACGACTCGCTTTAGAGCTCACAAAAGTGTGAGGAAGACAGAAAAGCTGATGGACGGAGAGACTCGGGGCACGACGGATGCCTGCCCCGCCCAGAAGAGCCGCTGTTTGAGTGGCCCTCAGAGTCAGCCAATAGTAACGCCGCAACCAATTACGACACCAATAGAAATTCGTTAGAGAGGCGGGAACTCAAGGGGGTCCGCCTTTTTTTCCTTTACCAAAGGGGGTGGGTCCCGCCGCTTCATGAAGAGAGATGAATTGTGACGCGCCGTTGGAGATAATGCTAGAGGGGAGGGATTTTGTTTGTCCTGTCAGCGTCTGATTGACAATAGAAGACTACAGTTGAGTTAGCGGAGGTTAAAAGAGGTGAAGGTTTGCATCCTTTCGGCCTGCTGCTGCGGCTTCGCTGCGAATCATAGCATGCTGCGGCGAACCTCATCCGTCCCCTCTCTATGGCCTCAGGTTTTGCAAAATTATTAGCCTGGTTCCGTATTACTACATTCCATTAATTAATATAGGTTTAACTCCAAAGTCGCTTTGGCTTCTTGAAAACAAAAGTAGCTTTTGTAAAGTTAAGTGGTAGAAACAGTGCAGAGCGCACTTCAACATAAATGCCACCCAGTATTTAATGGGAAATATTCCAAGATAAGAGTGTTTGGGATTCTAAGCTATGTGTAAAACTTTACTGAACTAAACACATAGTGTCATTAGAAATTAGTTGTAATCCTCCAAAGATACTGTAGTCATTTTTGAGGCAGGAACTGGTAACCCCTGATTCTTCAGATGGGTTTAAATTGCAGTTCCCAAAATCATTGCCCAATGGGCTTATTCCATCCAGTAGGGCTATTAGCAGTACTGTTTGGGAGGTGTGTAAATTGGTGTGTAAGTTGTAGTCCAGTGTAGCTGAACAATATTCGGCCAAGGAAGCCTGGCTTAAGCTTACTGTTAAAGTTTTACAGTCCTATTCAATGCACTTGTTTTGCTTCACTCTTTTTCTTTTAAACAATATATGCATGCTTCCATCTCAAGCTGTGGAACATCCTTAACGAAAAGTGGAATCCTCGAACATCTCATCCTAAAGAAAAGAAAAGACACTTTATATTTGAGACACATCTATAGTCTATAGAAATCTATAGTCTAGATTTCTCCCAGTGGTAAGTAGGGGTAATTTCTTTGGTCCTTGCCCCCTAGAATTTGCAGGTTACACTTGCACATCAGGTTTAACAACTGTGTACCAGCAGCATTTTTTTCCTGGTCCTTAAATGACCATGAAATGACCATATGGAATGAAATTCTTCAGGAATGTTGCTGTTACTGATATGCTCTTTTATAGAAGGCCCCAGCCTCACACCAGAATTTTTGTGATTATGAAGATTTGTTCATCCATATATCGGAGGAATAATAAGTAGATGCTTGCAGAGGTACAGTATATAAACATTCAGCATCAATTCTGTGCCCTTCCAGTGTAGCTCTTCCCTGATCAATAGGGCCAATCCCCCTATTGCCCAGCCTTTCTCTTTTACTTTCCATGCCAGGTTGGCCCAGGACCTAAAGCCAGGTGTCTTGTACTGCAATCAGACTAAAATTGGACAGAAATCCTATGTCATATAATTCATTCTTCCAACTTGCTAGATTCCAAGTTAATATTTGAATAGTTGTATCATTTATTATAAGTGTAGGACAGCAGGAACAGAAACAAGAGGTTTGGCTTGTAACATACCCCATTCAGTCGTTCATCTACAGATATAAGGTCAAGGGAATCTGAAGTACTGAGGTATACACACTGATTAGCGGTTTGAATTTTCCTTGATGTCACTACAGGTTGAGACAGCTTGCCAGGGTTATAAGACATATCACCAAATTGACTCCCTTTTGTTGTAATATTCTGTCTAGTATCCATGTGAGTTTTCACTTTACACTTCAATGCACTGGTACTTGGGTCATCCATCTTGGGTTCTGTGTACCTGAGGATATGGAAGCCCCTAAGAGTTGGTTAAGTTTGCCAGAACAAAGATGTTGCTGAACTATTCATGGTGGTTGGTGTTGAAAATAGTCTTCTATAGGGTCCCTATAGCCTGAAGTCCATTTGGTGGAACTGCAGCCTTAGAGAGAAGCAAAGCATTAGAATGCCATGGACCAGATCTGACATCAGGGGAGATATAGTAATGCTGCAAATCTACCTCCTCTTTATCTATTAGGGCTGGACATCATCTTCCTTCTGGTTACTTTTCTGTTGAGAATCTTCAGGTCAAAATGCATCAGAGGTGTATGTGGGTTGTTATTATTGCAACCCTTTTTAGGAGGTATTGCCATTAAGTGAACCAGAGGTCCTGCTGCTATACATGTTGTTAACAGTATCTACTGTAACTTCCTTAGTTTTCTCAATATTGTATCTGGCTCACAATTTGGCAGTGCCCCAGAAGAATGAATCAGCTGTACTTCTAGGGCTTCATATGTAATCTTTCTGTCACTAATTGTCTCTAGGTGTTTATCTGAGCTGCTCTTTGTCAAGGCTAAATTCTCAAGGTTGTTTGCAGCGGGCAGCTTATTATTCCTAGTGCCTAGAGAGAGACCTTTGGCTTGAGTAGAGGAGTGAAAAATTGAGTGTATTTTATCATCCTGAAACACATGTAATGGGAATATTTGAAATGTAGCCAGAAAAGGTTTCATTTTGAGCAGCATGCCAGGGATTGTAGGGCATTTGAATGTCAGCAAAACTCTTTTACGTCCTCTTTCACTGGGTAGTTTCATTTGGCTGCCTGTAAGTCTATCAGGTGGAGTTAAGAACAGAGAAGTTGGCTTAGACAAAACAATAGTTCTTTATTAGACAAAACAACCTTTATTAGCTCCATCAAAGTAAATATGTAGGGAGACCTGGTTTGTTGGAAGGATCCAATTATTCTTAATTCCCTTCTCCTTCTTTTCATCGCACAGTAATAGAGCGTCTTCCCTTCTGTTGGTGTTTAAATATCTCTTGCTGTTAAGTACAGGCTGCTCTCTCTTAACATTAGTTTGTGCTTCCATAAGTGCAGTTAGTTTGTCTAATTGTTGTTGGGTAAAAGCCTCAAAAAACCTTTTAAGGAATCCATATTGTTGTTTATTGTTAAGTATTCAAAAATAGAGATTACTGTCTGTACTGTTAAGGCATTGCCTAGATATAAAGTCCAAGGCACTCCCTTTGTGAGATTCTTGACCTGTCCCTCCCTAGTGAAAGCAAGAGTTGCTGGAGGGACAGTAGCAGCCTCAGGAAAGGACTGTGTTGTAAAACCATTTTGGTAATCTTCTGAGATCTAAGAACCGAACAATCTCTGTTTGCAAATCCCATTCCAAAACTTCCTGTCACTTCATGCTTGTAAAGTTTCTATTATTGTTGTTGTTGTTGTTACTACTACTACTATTAGATTTACTTACTGGTAAGTCATACTTGGGTCCTAAATAGTTGGCAATTTGCAGTTGTTTTGGAGGCTTTGAAGTGACAGTCACTCCTGAGTTCATTCTATGTCACTTCTTCCTTTCCCCCTTGTTCCACAAAGTGTTTAAAAGCATTCACTATGAAAGATGAACCCATACAGCGTGTCCTACTGTCTTTAGTCAAAATAAAGTATTAAATGAAATAATAAAACCAAGATAAAGTAGGATAAAATTTAAAAATGTTAAGAGCACTTAGGCAACATTTCAAAGAGAAGAGAGAGCCAGTTTGATGCAGTGGTGCAGGTGCTGGCCTAGAAACCAGGAGACTGTGAGTTCTAAGCCTGCCTCAGGCATGGAAGTCGGCTGGGTGACTTTGGGCTGGTCCTTCTCTCTCAGCCCAACCCACCTCACAGGATTGTTGTTGTGGGGAAAGTAAGAGGCAGGAGGATTAGATATGTTTGCCACCTTGAGTTATATATAAAAACGGTGGGATAAAAATATAGTAACCACAAGTGTCTACTCCTTGCCATCTTGGCTCCTTCCCCCAGAAAGAGTATCGACTTCTAAAATTTGCTGTTGGAGAAGACTCTTGAGAATACCATGGATAGCCAAGAAAATAAATAAATGGATCATAGAACAAATCCAGAGTTCTCCCCACACAAATGACCAGGCTCAAATCATCGTATTTTGGACACATGGGAAGACCTAGTTCTCTTGAGATGCTGGGAAAGGTGGACAAAGAGAAGAGGACAACTGGCAGTAAGACAGAAGGACTCAATTACAGTGGCAATGGGTGGCAACAATTGGAAGATGTGAAGGGCTATAATAAGGACAGATCATCCTGGAGAAGGTCTATATATAATAGGAACTTATTATGTATTGCTGGCAGTATCATTGAAATAAAGATACAATATTGGAATCATGTGCCTAGAAAGTTTTGTGGAAAGCATCTGAAATTGATTTCAAAATACTTGTTCTGTAGTATACAACTTGGGGTGTATTTTTCCTCTGGAGCAGTAGCTGAACTTTTACACAGTGTTCTATATCTCATATTATATACAGTAGCAGGCCTGTGTAACATATGGGGCGCATGCAGCCCACCAAGCAGTCTTGTAAGGCCCACCGGCATTTGTAAAAAAGTGATAAATTCACCACTGCCATGAAAGACTATCAAGTACTTCCAAGTCTTGCTGTTGCTGCCAGCTCCAGCCCTGCTGCCACTCTGCTAGCCACAGAATAACTGATTGGTGGGCCAGTTATTCCTTTGCAGCCCACAATGATTTTCAATGTATCATTGTGGCCCTTTCCTATGCAGCCTGTTATATAGCATTTTATACCTGATCATTATGATTCAATGCAATAAACACTTCTAATCCATGTGCATTTTTTATGCTAACTAGCCTTGTCTTATACAGCTGGATCATCAGTGTGGTTCTCCCTTAATTTTTAATTAACACAATATCCTGCGCTGTTTCCCCCCAATATGGACATGGATGCCTATCCCCATTGACTAGGTTTGCATGTTGAACTAACCCATTGTTTGGTGAATAAATCATAAGTAGCTGCATTCATACATAATGCTAAGTCATAATACACACTGGCTGGGTTCACATTTTGGTTTATGCTAGATTCACACAACACATTATATTTATA